GCAGCTGATCGATGTTTCTCTTTCATCGATGTTTCTAACTCTCTATCCCTCTCCCTTCCTCTCTGTAAAAAATCAATAAAATATATTTTTAAAAAAAAGTATATAACACCAGTTAGTGAAAATGCTCTCAGGGTAAAAAAAAAACAGGGTCAGGGAAAAGGCAGGGGTGGGGCACTGGGGTCTTATTTCAGATCAGATGTCTAGGGAAGGCCTCTCGGAGGCAGCCACATCTGAGTAGAGATCTAAATGAATGAGCACAAGTACCTTGCAAATATCCAAAGAAAGGAATTCCAGGTGACAGAGTTGTCACGTGCAAAGGCCCCAGGGTCCAGCGAACAAAAGTGTGAATGCAGTATATGCAGCCAAGAGAAGGAAGTATTTGAAAGAGGTATGAGGGGTGATGTTTGGATGTTGCCAAGGTTGGGCCCAGAGCTGGTGGGTCATTGGAGACCTCCACCAGAACAGTCCAGTGGTGTGGTCTGAGTAGAAACCTGACTGGTGTGGGGAGAGGAGAGACTGGAAGGAAAGAAGGCATGGAGAGCTGATGGACCAGTTTTAATGTAACGGGGAGCAGAGAAATGGGCTGGGGGGAAGGGGGCGTGAAAGAGATGAAGAGTCTCAATGAAGGCGTTGCATGCTGGGACATGACTCCCCTATAACCCTCCTCCAGCCCTACAGGTCTTTCCAATGAGTGTCCACCCCACCTCCAAACTGGCCATCAGCCATCACAGGATCCAAGGTCCTGGGGCCAGTGCATTGGGAAAACCTACCAGTAACTCTGCCCTAAGGAACCCTGGCTCCTGTCTCCATAGAGACTCCATGGAGAAGACTCTAGCTTTGGCTCCTGCACATGCCAAATGCGGAAGCAAACGGGACGAGTGACCCTGACATTCCTCCTGGGAGGGTTGGCCTTTGGAATCAGCTGCTCTGACACCTCCCAGCTCTAGCCACACGTTCCCTCACCCAGAAGCATTCATTGAGCTCCTGCCCAAGTCTGCCCTTCCCTCCTTTCCCATGAGAGGTGAGGTGTTGAACCTGCCGCTCTAACTGCTGTGCTGCTAGAGGTGTGCTGTGTGCTGTGGCAGCACAGGTAAAAAGGAAGTGAGCATTTCAGAGGCGGGAACGTTTGAGTTGGGCCTTATGGGATGCATAGGAGTGGGTCAAGTAGAACAGGCATTCCAGGCAGAGGGAACAGCGCATGCAAAAGCTCAGAGGCAGGTGGACCAGCGTGGTTGGGAAATGAGACAGTGTGTGGAGCCCAATTATGAAGAGATTTGGACGCCTTCCTGGGGAACTGACACAACATGACCAGAGCTGGGTCCTGCCACCCTCACTTCAAGGGCCCCTGTGCTGTGCGGAGTCCAATATCTTACCTGAAGAATCCCCAGAGGCCCAGGCGGTACTGAATGATCACCACCACCACGTTTTCATGGGCAGAGAGGGGCAGCCCGTCATAGGTTGATGCCCCGCCCACCACCAGACCTCCTCCGTGGATCCACACCATCACCTGGACAGGGAGGAAGCAACCACACAGGTCACAGATAGGAAGCAGAGCTGGGAAGGACCTCCAAGGGTTGTCTGGTTGATCAGGACTCAAGGAGGCTGTTCTCTGAAGCTCATCAGCCCCCAGCAAAGGTGGGGCAGGCAATCGCTCTCCTCCCCACTCCCCCAGCTCGGGCAAGGCCACCCCCCACCCATGCACCTGGCTGCCCCAGCCTTTCTCTCCAGCCCCAGTGCTGCCTGCTCCCAAGGCTCTTCATGCTGAGAACTGCATCACAGGAACGGGCAAGGCTAATGGGGTCATCTTCCCCCAAACACTCCCATCATCCTCATTCCTGGGCCCCTAACCCGCTCAGCACACTCTGCCTGGGAAGCCCTTGGATTTCAGCGTCATTAGTCACCTCTGTGTGGTGAATTAAAGTCCTCTCGTGTGTGTGAATGACTATCTCAAGAAGCATCCATGCCCCCATTGGTAGCTCTTCTTCACATCCCTCCCTCTACACCCCAGGGACTGCCCCCAGCAGACCCACCCCCACCTTCTGGCCGCCCCTCTCAGGGCCTCTGCCTAATGAGGAAATGTTGCCTCACTGGGACATCGCCCCAGCCAAAGACAATTAGGAAGGGAAATTAGCTCAAGAACATCTCAGATATTGAGGCAAAGACAAAGACAAAG